AAAAAATATATATATATATATATATATATAATCTCCAAGTAAATAGTTTACTGTATTAATGATAAATTATCTATTAAATATAGCACATAAGTTATTAATGATACATTTTCTATTATCTATAACCTATAAATGGAGGGAAGAAGGGAAGGAGGAAAGAAGGAAGGAAGGAACGGAGGGAGGGAGGAAAGAAGAAGGAAGGGGGAAAGGCAAAAGGAAAGAAGAAAAACTTAAAAGGATTTTATTTCTTGGATAAACAAAAACAACATGGTAAAACTTGGAAAAGCCAAATTTCTGATCTTAACCTTCCAAAAGAAATGCAACATTACAAGGAATTCCAGTTCTCTCTTCTCCTTAAAACAATGCAGCAAATCACCTAATCATTTCTAGACTTAAAAAAATAAACATTTCAATCTCAAAAATGTTTCTTAATAAAAGGTTACGAATGATATAAGATCGTTTTATGACAAAAGACAATGAGCCATCTTGATCAAGAAACAAATGTTGAAAAAGTAGCAATTTGTGGCAAAGCCAGAAGTCATTCAGAATAAAAGGCAATATTGTCAATTTTACCTTCTGACAAAGGTGAGTATTTTGCCCTATAATATTAACACATGGATGACATAAAGAAATGAAAGTAAAGGTCACAGTAGAAATATAATTTGATGAATCATTAGATTGAAATCTCAAAGTCACCCACATAATCATCAAAGTTGAATGTCAAGCAGATAGTTTGGTAAAGTAGGGAAACAAGTCAGATGTCTAATAAAAATCAGAAGAAATGAAAGATTGAAAATACTACAACAAAGAAAAGTCCCTATAATTATCCTTCTATGTTGGCTGTGAAGTGATGTGGAGGAAGTGTGCCAAATGGTCATTTTCACACATAAGCATGTTATTTTCCCTGTTGAAGCAAATTCAAAGGAAAGTAAAATTTAAGAGGCAAATGCATACGTGCTGGGAAGCACTTTCATTTTCTTAAAACGAAAACATTTCTGGGAAAACCACATGAAACAATACCCCCTCACCCTTTAATTTTATCCTAAACCTCTTATATATTTCTCTAGGCCTTTAAGAAGGAAATAACATATCTAATATCATGGGCTGAATTACTAATTCATAAATAATGAGAGAGAATATTTTACATAATTCAGGTTAGCCTCTCTGCTTTTTATATTAAACTGAGAATCTTCAGTGAAGAAATCACCCTTATTTAATTAGATACCTTAAATGACCAAAAAGTAATCAATATAGTTTGCAAACTCACAAGTAGTCAGACAAACTAAAAACCATTTGGCCCTTTAGCATCTTTATTCTCATCAGTGAATTGATTTCATTATCAATAGAACTGTGCTTCAAACACAGCACCACAGTTTAAAATCCATATGTGGAGAGTGAGTATATTTTGTAATAACTCAAAAAGACCACATATTGATACAATAATGGGTTTAAAGGTAGTTTCAGAAAAGCCTAAGTTTCTTTCTGAAGAGTTTTTGTTAAAAAAAATCCATCAGTACAGAACGATGCTTTCTGGCCTGAGCCATTTTAGCATAAAAGTTGTTAATTAATATGTCTCAATTACTTGGTTATGCAAAGTTGATTCCTAACTTTGCTTTGAGACTCAGAGGCTGTCTCCAGGCAAAGTTTCAGTTCATTATCAGCTCAAAAGGCTGCCCAACTCTACCTTCTTAAGCTACAGTAAATACATTTCCATCTGGACTCATCATCTGTACAGTGTGAAGTTTTGTAACAGAGAGTTTTGAAATCACATTTTATGGCAGTGAAGCTGCTAGAGGATATTTATTGACTTAATCTCATCCAACATCTCCTGTCATGTGGAACTGTCCCCAGTACAAGGCAGATTAGTGACTGTGAGCTGCTTCAATTTGGCTCAACATTCTGGCTAAAGAATTTTCCATTACATGGGTGGTGACATCATTTGAGTTTGGAGCCATTCAATTTATTCCGTGGTGGCAGAAGAGAACACAATAGTCACTAGAACCGAATCTGAGTATGCGCTCCTCTGTTGACGTTCTGAAGAAGTGACAAGGCTGAGATTAGAAGCTGTTACTGCTCAATTTATTTTTCTAAGTAGATCTAAGCATCTACACTTGTGAGCTGTCTTTGGTATCTGCCTCCATTGTACTGGGTTGTCGGAAAAGTCATGATGCATTTTTGCAACGAAAAACATAGAAAAAATATGTCATGACTTTTCCAACAACCCAATAGTTTCTGGACCCAATGAGATGGTTCGTTAGAGCTCAGTAGAAAGAGGCTGGTTGATAGTATATGCAGTTTCCCAGTGTGCAGGGACTCCAGGGTTCTCTTATAGTTTCCTTCTCATGTAATGTCAATGAATAAGACCACGGAATGTTTGAAATTAGCTTTTTTTTTCATTTATTTTTTCCAATTACAGTTGACATTCAATATTATTTTATACTAGTTTCAGGTGTATAGCACAGTGGTTAGACATGTACATAATTTATGAAATGAGCCCCTGGATAATTCTAGTACCCACCTGGCACTATACATAGTTATTACCATACTATTGACTATATTCCCTACGCTTTACTTTATATCCCCATGATTATTTTGTAACTACCAACTGTACTTCTTACTCCCTTCACCTTTCTCACCTAGCCACCCCGCTACACACACACACACACACACACACACACACACACACACACACACGCACAATCTGGCAACCATCAGTTTGTTCTCTGTATCTATGTGTCTGTTTCTGTTTTGTTTGCTCATTTATATTGTTCTTTAGATTCCACATATAAGTGAGCTCATATGGTATTTGTCTTTCAAGTGGTATGCTGACCTTGTTCAATTCCAACAGTCTTTAGGATCCTATTACTTCCCATGTTCCATGCGGAAATTGGGATACACACAAGAACAAATTGATTGAAAGAAAATATAAATAAGATTATGCATGCAGCATGCTAATATTTGCAAAAGAGCTCAAATTTTCAACTATCTGGAAATGCATAGGTTTATGTTGCACATAAACAGAGCTTTAAACTTGCTATATAGTCAGGAAAAGTAAAGAAATGGCAACTGCTTTTAATGATAAGAAGTCCCTACACCTGAAAATGAATTTATCACTTCAGAGGACAGCAAATTATAATAAATTATAGGTAGTTAACTTGATATTCTACAAAGAATCTTGTTTAAAGTACAATGCATAAATTTGAAATTAATATAACACAAAAGGACAAAGTTATAGCATTAGATCATATCTCGAAGAATGTAAATTACATAGATAACAAATAAAATTTAACTATTGGCATTTTTGTCATATAACTAGATTACTTTTACAAAACTTTTACAATGCTCCCACACTGTCTACAATATCACATTAAGCCTCTAAAATATTAATGTCATGCAAGCAATAGATATTTACTAATTTTTTTGTTGATGATGGATATATGCTTTTGTTAACAGGAATTTCTATTGCTGTTATGTGTGGAATTAGTGAAGACAAACCTATGAGTGTATATATGTTGATAAGATTTCTCTAATTTAAATTAAGAACTACATTTTATTCCAATAAATATAAATAATTTCCTTTATCATTTTCAATTTTAGTGCCTTATAAATTTTTTTAACTTATCAAAATCACATCAGTCTTTACTGGTATACAAATAAACAGAAAATATTTTCACCTCCATTTTATAAATAAAATCTACAGCTAATCATGAGAAAGTATTGACAATGAACTTTATCAAGGCTGCATAAAAACTTCATATCCAGTTAATCTTAGATTTTAAGTACCTCAAATTTTAGAGTTTGAAGGATCTTTAAAAAATACCTGATCTGCGCAGGCTGAGTGGCTAAGTTGGTTAAGAGCTCGCTCAAGAGTGTGAGCTCCGAGCAACAGTGGTTCGAGTCCCGGCCCGAGCTGAGCTGCCACTGAGCTGCCAATAAGTGGCAGGATGGCTCAGCTTAAAAAAAAAAAAGTACCTGATCTGAATGCTTCATTTTCTACATTAAGAACTGAAGCCCAGAGAGAGGAAACAACTTGCTTGATGTTAGAGCTAATATGTGACAGATAAAAGATCCCTTATGTTTCATTAGTACGGATGTCATTTGTATTTTCAAGAATACTGTTAGTTATCATTTTCAAACTAAAATTTAAAAGAGTATATATTATATTCCTTTATAAGTCTACTTTATCATAGATTATCAAAAGTGGTGATCTTCTGTGTCCCAGTTGTATCCAGAAAGATTTCTGGATTTCTTACATTGCTTGTTCATGTAATGTTTGAAATATAAAATATATAATTCATGCTTATTTGTTGCATTTTAATAAAAAATAGATATATAAAGTTGTTCATTGAAGTAATTTAAAAAGTTTTACATTGTATAAATGTATATTTTCATATATTTCCCAAATACCTTAAAAACTACATTGACAACCTTCCATTATACCTCCTCCAACATATAGGATATATAAGAGGAATACAGTATATATATTTTTTACACATAAACCAAATGAATAACAAAGCCTTAAATAACTTGGGAGTCTATCCCCTAACTACTAGTACTGTTCAGTCCAGTGGATCACATCATCTACTATGCTAATAGGAATTCAAACAATAGATCTTTTGTCAAATGTGCTAATGAACCAACTCTAAAATATTGCATCTCTTTAAAAGGAAACAGAACATTAGAAATAAGAATACAACCCCTATCTGACATATGCAACTTAGTGACTTTATTATGCCTCTATAGAGAGTAATGTCTTGGTCCCCAGAATAATACCAGCAGTAGGTCAAAAACTTTTAGAAAAAAAATATTGAAATACTTCAAAATATTATCCTGGAAGTATATAAGAACTTAATTTTATTATGCCACAAATAGGTCTTTTTTATTACTAAGGATACTCCAATTAAATGAACATTTTCTTGCACATACTATATTCAGAAAGCCATCTCTATATTTTAGATAACCATTTACCAAAATAATAAAGATTTTCTCAGGTGTCTACTCACCTGCTCAGAGAAGAGGTCACTGTTATCTTCCAGGTATTTACTGAAAGGGTTGGGTTCATAGACTTCTTCCTCTTTTTTCAGTAATATTTTGGATTTTACAGGGACTGGGCGAATTACTCCAGGTTTAGTCTTCATCAACATCAAATAATAAAAAAATAGAGAAATAAACACTATTAAAATAAATAAATATGTGTATTATTAAGTTATTCCAATATTCTCACAAAAATTTATATTTTTTTAAAGTGTAAAATGATTTTTCAAATACTACAGGAAAACAGCCTGGAAATCAAATGATTTTACCTAATGGAACTTTAGTTTTCAGTTAACTGTTACAGGAATCAACTCATAAAAGTCTATATTATAATGTTCAAAATGCAAAAACTTGATTTACTAGCCAAACATGGTCTTATATATCCTTGCCAGTGTATTCCATCAATAAATATTTCATTTGACAAATACTTATTGAGAGTATTTTCAGTGCCAGGCAGCATTCTCATTCTGGACACATTAGTACAGGTGAATTTAGCACATCCACCAAGACCATAATAACTTTCCTTCTCTGAGAACTGCCTCCCCCACCCCCATGTCCCCAAATCCACAGAGCTACTGCCTCAGAAACCATGTTCATGTTATATATAATGAAACCAGGGGTGACATTCTGATCTGAGAGGCTGGGCAGTGGGTAGAAAACAGATTTTCTCTCCCAGGAATATGGAAAGTGACAACTCTGCATTCACGTTGGGAGACTGAAATTATGTCAACTTTGGAGCTATGGAAAAGACTTAATCTGCCATAAAACAGATCTGATAAGACAAAGTAAAACAGAGCAAAGTGCATGGAGAGGCAGCCAAAAGAAGTGGGACAGTTCAGGACTTTCCAGAATTGAATTCCAAAGCATTCCTGGAGTCCAGCTGGATTATTTTTTCCTGAGGCTCCCTAAGATTTTCCTTTTACACTAGATTTCTTTGTTTCCAAAGTCAAGTTTACTTCTAATACTTACCATCAAAAGAGTTTTTGCTAATAGACCAGTCATTCAAGATTCATAAACCTGTACCACCCAATGTCAGTTTGATGAAAGGGAGAAAGAGAAAGAAATGTAGTTTGGGGTAATTTCAAAATGATGCTTCACAAACACCTAAATCTTGTTACACTGTAAAATGTCACAAAATGATTGATAAGTTTACAGAAACATCCCAAACAAGAATTCAATAAAAAGTTGTGACACTTTTTCTGTTTCAGCGTTTTGCTGTAATCATTCTTTTCAATTCCATTTCCTTTTGGAAAATTGTAAATTAGCTCTCCTCAGTCAGTATGGATGCACACAAGTTAAGCCTTCAGGGACTACATCTATCTATCTGCTCTATAAACCACCTGAAATATTTTGAGTCTTGAATAAATGCCACTCTGCAATACTTTTTGATATTTTCGTATATGTATATGTATATATGCCAACTGGGGAAATACAGATTGAGGAGAATCTCTATTTTCCTCAGGGTGAGAAATATCTCCCACTTAAGAAACTCTAATTTCTCTCACAGGGGAAAACTGAGCAAGTAACATGGAATTATGCATGAAGTCACACAGCTGAATGTATATATGATAGCAATATCCCTCCAGTAAGCCCAACACAAGAACAAACCCCAGGCAGTTACTGGGAGAGGCCTGTTATATGGGTGATAATCCTAAATGGTCCAGATTTCCTGCCTTTTCATTCCACTTGACTTCCTGTTTCATTTCTCCTTCCTCTGAGCTTACTCTTGTGCCTTCTCTTTCTCTCCTGCTCCTTTGTGAGGCAGGAAACCAATACAAGAACTCCGGTACTAGGGACCTACCAGATTCTAAAACTGACATGGAGCTTTGGGAGCTAAGCTTGGTGGCAGTACACAGAAAGACAAAAGCAGAGAGAAGAATTTGACCAGGAGCACTCGATATGCTAAGAGAATCCCTCTGCCAGAGAAACATGACCACTGGGCCCTGTATCACACTAGCCGATGAATGTTTTGGGTTATCCTGGCCTGCAGCCTTTCATTCAGATCATCTCTCTTGGGATCACCATCTTCTGGTTGGTTGGATATCAAGAACCTTCAGTATCAGAATCAGTTACTGATGCTTCAACTTGTTTCTCTACCAACCTTTATGCTCCTTAGTTCCTATAAATTTCCTGGATTTGATGGTTGACTGACAACGTGACAATGCTTCTTTCCCTGTTTTTTCTACTTTACCAGATTTCCCACATGCTCTTTTCTTGGACTCTGTGTCCCTAGGCTTGGTCTACGTGAAGTCTGGGAGTTCTACTCATTTTAATGTTTGCTTACTTGATCTTGTTTTGGTTGCCCTGATTTCTACATTATATGTATCACCTCTTTTTTTTTTATTATTCCTAATTTTCTCCTGCACCTTAACTTGTTGTCACTCAATAGTTACTATTTCTCAGACATAGAGGCCACCTCTGGGCAAAAGAAGACTACGTATAGCTTGCCTTTGACACTCTTCACACTTCCCATCATATAACCTTTAACATACCCTCCACACCCAACTGTCTCTCAGTATTTGGTCACATTGTAAATAGAACGTGGATAGCCCATTTCTGAATCTCATGCACTTCCATAATGCTACACCAGCAGATCGTGCTCATGGCAGCCTCTACACCTTGCTCATACCATTCTACTTGCTTTGAAATGAGCCTCAAAATCTTTGAGGACCCACTGCAGCTTACACCATCCTCCTCCCATATATCCAGAAGCATGGTATTCAATATTTCAGATAGATTATCTCATCGATTCATTATATACAACCCTGTGACAGGTTTAGAGAGCACAGGGCACATGCCAAAGTCATGCGGTTATTTGTAAAGAAGTCAAGGTTAAACCCAGGTGTGATCTTATCAAGCCCATGATTTTAACTACTCTTATGCTTTCTTCAGAAAGAGAGAGAGGAGCACATAGATATTTAAATCATTTTAAACACTCATCTTTCTATAACCTCTGCTGTCTGATCATTAACAATTGCCACATCCTTGATTTTGCCAGTTTCTTCATTCTGTGTCATCTTGTTTTTATTTTCAATCTTCTTCCTAAATCCAGTTTTTCTTTTCCTAAGGATGGCATAAATGTTCCTGCCAATAGAACATCCCTGAAATACTGTAGGACCTGATGTTTTCCTGCTCAATATTTTAGACAAATCCATACTTCCTCCCTTCTTCACACACACACACACACACACCACACACTCCGCCTCCTAATATTCAAATCCATCATCCAAGCAACGGTATCAAAGCTCCTTTTAGAAAGTCTATAAAAAAGAGCGTATATGAAGCATATGAGTGTTATCTGCTGGCATGCATAAGGCTATCTTGGAATATTCGTTAACTTCTTCTCTGCTCTTCCCTAATGCCTTCTTCCTCAATGTCAAATAGTCATGTAATCTACATTTGCTAAAGATTAAATTGCAACACAAGTAAACTCGTGGCTCTATCCAAATAAGATGTCTGCCAGTACCTTGCCACTCCGAATGGGGACGACAGATAAGCAGCGTCAGCATCACCCTGGAAGTGCCAAAACTCGGGCTCTATCCCAAACCTACTGAATCAGAACCTGCATTTGAACCAAATCCCTGGGTGATTTGTGAGCACGTTAAAAACTGAAAGGCCCTCAACTTGCACTTACCCCATTAAAATGTTTGTGCTGCCCACACAAAAATAGGTCTTCCGTGGTCTGCCATCTGAAAGATGCCTCTTTAACCTTGAGCTTCTGCCTCCAGATTGAAGGAGAGGCTTTAGAACATACTGTCCTTTATTAATTTCTAATCTATATTGTATCTTTGCTCCTAGTCCCCTGATGTCTTCAGACTTCAAGTAGACTTTGGTTCTCTAATCCTGGCCAATCTAACTTGCTAAGTCTAGGTCCAAACAAAAACCAAGGAAATTACATGAATCAAGTTAGAAGAGTCTATAAAAGGGAGCTACTATAAGATTGTAGTTGTCCAGCAATATTACAACTAAACTAACCCAAAGAAATCCTCCTTTCATTTCTATCTGCTATAGAATCCATAGAAGAACCGGGCTCATGACTAATACACATAAATGTCATTCTTATGATGCCAGGAAAAGCAACTCCAGAATTTTCTTTCCAGCCTAAGTGGCGAAATAAAAACAGGTAATAACTCTCCTAGTCAGCACAAAGAGCACAGAAAGAACAACAGGAAGGTTCTCCAAATGGCAAATTTCAACTCATTATGATGAGCCCACTGAGAACTGATTTACACTGGATGGAAGACATTTTAAAAGTGGCTCAAAAACGGAACCACCATCGTTTTGGAGCCCTGAAGCATACCTCCATCAGAGGTTCTCTGGAGCCCTTTTGCCAATTGGAACCTAGTCTACATCAGGAACTGTAGTGTCTACAGAGATGAGTAAGACATAACCCCTGTTCTCAGGGGGCTCATAATACAGGTGAGTAAATCACAGAATAACAGTGTAAGTCAAGTCATGTCACTCGGCTCCTCTTAAAGCTCTCTAATGCTTCACCTTTTCACTTCAAGTAAATATGTGCAAGGCCTGCCGACGAGGTTCTGTATGACCTAATCTTTCCTATCCCCAGCCGGCTTCTCCCTTTCTGATCTAATCTCCTGCTACTGTCCCCCTTGCCCCTTCACTCTCTCCACTCAAGCACATGCATGACCTTCCCTCTTTTGGGAGTTTGCACTTGCTCTTCGCTTTATCTAGAACTCTTTTCTCCCTTTCCAGGATTGCAACCCTCACCGCTTCCCCTTTCCTGCCTTCCTTTCCCCCCCCCCCCCAGTATTGATCACAATCTGACATCAGTTTGTTTTATTGTCTTGCTTTCTACACTAGAATACAAGCCCTGTGAGACTAGAGATCATTGTTTTGTTTNCCTGCTACTGTCCCCCTTGCCCCTTCACTCTCTCCACTCAAGCACATGCATGACCTTCCCTCTTTTGGGAGTTTGCACTTGCTCTTCGCTTTATCCAGTCTTTCAACGCTCAATACACTTCAAGATGGCTTTGTTCCTTCTCCTTTCCTGCCTTCCTTTCCCCCCCCCCCACAGTATTGATCACAATCTGACATCAGTTTGTTTTATTGTCTTGCTTTCTACACTAGAATACAAGCC